CTATTGTCATTTTTCCTCTACTTCTTTTGTATGTTTGTCACACTCTTGTGACCCACTATTTCCGGGGTGCCTTGATAGTCGAAGCAGACTTTGTGCTATTGAAGCTAGAGAGGTGAGCAGAGTAAATCTGATTCCCTGTAAGGACTTCTCTGTTGACATCCACCCCTTGGCGCTCATATGACCTTATGCAGTTGCGAGCGCCGTAAGACCTCTACAAAAAAAAGGACTTTCACAGTGGCGTCGGTGGCCTAGTGATTAATCTACCGGGCCTGTATTCATGTGTGGTTTTTCGTAAAACTCCTTCGAAAACTTTAAAGATAAAAACAACCTAAAACGTCTTTACGTCAAATAAAACTCAACGATTATTATCTCATATCGTCAAGAGTACCTATTCCGAGAACTGCTGCTGCGAGAGAACCGGTTCACCAACGTGATGCTTACCAGGGACCGGTTCGCCTCTATCTTGGGCGGGGCCAGCCTTTTCCATACCCCATGCGCATAATTTGTCCTTCCAGGGAAACAAAGATAATGTTAGTTACTCTCTAGTAACACCGCTGATATTCGGTACTTTTATAACCTATTTGTATTGCAAGTGGCGTAAAACTCGTCCAAAAACTTTTTTAAAACCCTAAAACCTCTTTACTCAAAATAAAACTGAACGAATATTTCACAGCGCCAAGAGTACCTGTTCCGAGAACTGCTGCCGCTAGAGAACCGGTTCACCAACGTGATGCTGACCAGGAACCGGTTCGCCACTATCTGGGGCGGGGCCAGCCTTCTCCAGGCCCACTTGTCCTTCCTACAGGAACTGCTGGAGCCCGGGCTGGGCTGGAACTGGGACTACTACATCAACCTGAGTGAGAGCGACTACCCGATCAAGTGAGTGGGGGGTTGGCGGGTGGTTGGTGGGTGGGTGTTGGGTGAGTGAGTGGGTGGTTGGTGGGTGGGTGTTGGGTGAGTGAGTGGGTGAGTGAGTGGGTGATTGGTAGGTGCTTGGTATCAAGTAAGTGGGTTGTTGGTAGGTGAAAATATCTAGTAAGTGGGTGGTTGGCGGGTGTCTATCGAGTGAGCGGGTGAATTGCAGGTGTTCTGGTTGGTCGGTTTCTTTTGAGAGCAACTACCCGATCAAGTGAGTGGGTGGTTGGTGGCTGAGTGTCGGGTGAGTGGGTGGTTGGCGTGTGCTCTGGTATGGTCTGCTTTTCCGAGAGCGACTACCCCATCAAGTGAGTGGGTGGTTGGCGGGTGCTCTTGTATGGTCTGCTCCTCTGAGAGCGACTACCCCATCAAGTGAGTGGGTGGTTGGCGGGTGCTCTGATGGGGTGTGCTCCTTCTTTCAAACATCGGTTGTCCTATCTCGACAGTGGGTGGTTGGTTGGTGCCCGTTGAGTAAGTGGTTGGTGGGTGGGTGCTCTAGTGTGGTTTGCTCCTTCTTTCCTATAAAAAACGATCATCCTTCTCTCTCCCCCTCCTTTTTTGTGTTTGTTACTCTCTTGTAACACGTCTCATCTTGGGTGCTTATCAAGTGAATGGGTTGTTGGCGGGTGTGTGGTTGGCGAGTGCTCTGGCGTGGTCTGCTCCTTTGAGAGTGACTACCCTATCAAGTGAGTGGTTGGTTGGCGGGTGCTTGTCTAGTGAGTGGGTGGTTGATGGGATGGGTGGTCTGGTGTGGTCTGCTCCATCTTTCCTTTAAAAAACTATCGTCATTTCTCTCTCCTCCTTTTTTGTTTTTGTTTTTACACCTCTAATCTTGAGCACTTACATGACCTTATTGTGTTGCAAGTGCCGTTAAACTCTTACTAAAGCTGAAAATCTTTTGTCCTTATTCTTCCAGTGGGGGGTTGGTGGGTGGGTGCCTATCGAGTGAGTGGGTGGCTGGCGGGTGCTCTGGTTAGTCTTTTCCATTATGGACGACTACCCAATTAAATAAGTGGGTGTTGAGCACCTTGCTAATGATAGAGTGTATGATGTGACCATGGAGTAAATATTTTACTTTATGGTCGTCTGTGTTCTCAAATGAGTGGTGTGAATTTATACCCGTGTGATCGAATCCCTTAATTCATTCCAATGTTAGCTATAGTCCTTTCTGTTTTGGAATTAATGAGATAAATATTTAGAGAGAGATTTTCTTTTTGCCAAAATGCAATGTACTGATTATATTATGTTTCTGTTGTATTGTAAAGCGCTCAGAGCCTGTGTTTGTTTTAGTAGAGGTTTTACGGCGCTTGCAACTGCATACGCTCATATGAGCGTCAAGGGGTGGATGTGAACAGAGAAGTCCTTTCAATGAATCAGACTTACTCTGCTCACCTCTCTAGTTTCAACAACCCAAAGTCTGCATCGACTATCAAGGTTCCCGGAAATAGCGGGTCACAAAAGTGTGACAAACATACAAAAGAAGTAGAGGAAAATGACAATATTAAGGATTAGAAAAGAAAAAGCAGCAGTTCCTTTTTGTAGTTCAGGCACATTCATGAGCATGACCTTGTTGGATCAGCCCATTTACAATTCTACTTTGCATTAGATTGAGAAATGTCTCCCCTTTGAGAATGGCCTAAAGACTCTTCAGTCAGTGGCACCCCCCCCCCCCCCCCC